GAGAAAGAAATGAACCCACCTATCTCAACAAGGATCTCATAATAGGAGTAGTAAAAGACTGGCCAAAAGTTGAAATCGAATGTAGTGGGCCGAAAGCTGTCAACCAAAATACAACATATCAACTGCATTTTTAACCCTTTAAAGCAGAAAATAAATAATAATTCCTGCAGTAAGCTTTCTTATCCATCTTTTACACTTTCTCCACTGATCAAATAGCGTTGTTTACTGACTATTTTGCTCAGTTTCCTGGCGGCACAGTCACAAGCATTGAGGTCCTGTTAGGGTATTTTCTTAGCCTCGATAATTTGGGACCGTTATTAGGAGGATAGCCTACTAAATTTTTACTTTAGACCAGTGTTTCTCAAACTGTCCTTAGTCGAGGCGCTTTTTTTTTTTTTGAATAAATATTTTTTACTGTGCCCTAGCCTAAGTAAAAGTTTGACTATTCGTATGTTAGAGATTCCCCTCCTCCTCCCCCCCCCCCAAAAAACCTCGTATATCTTAGAATATTTCGCGGCGCCCCTGTGAAGAGGTCGCGGCTCCCCAGGGCGCCGCGGCGCACAGTTGGGGAACCACTGCTTTAGACACTAGTCAAAGGGGGATTAACAAGATTAGGTCAGTGCTCTGGACAGATAGAAATATAATAGTGTATTCTGAACAGATAAAAATATAATAGGAACATTTATATTTGTTGCAACAATAATGTCTCAACAAAACAAGTATCTCTTTATTTACTTTATTGATTTACAATGGTTTCAATAGGCACCGTGAATATATTTTACTTAATTTTGCGGAAAGTGTTATAGAAAGAGAAACGTCGATTAAACTTAAAAGGAAAAAAAAACTCACAAGATAATCAATAGGCTAAATTATTCGTTAAAGCATTCGCTAACACGACTGCGTGACCAAGGAGTAAAGCTTGGTGACGCACGTCTATGTCGTCTTCGAGGTAAAAACAGGATATACTTTAACCAATTCCTCATGGGAACAATCAGTAAAGGTACCTTGGAATGGCTGCTGCGTTGGAGGACTGAGCAGGCATGGGTATTCCTAATGTGCAAAGACATCGTTGTAATAACATACCATAATATAACATCAAGTGGTTAATTTATAACTCAAGAAAATAACTACAAGTTCAATAGAAATAGGAACCAATAACACAGTTATAACAATTAACGAAATGTGGCTAAAATAGAACCAGAATAGTCAGCAAAAAGATTTCAAAGCCTGTGCACTGTGCTGAACTTCTTCGGATTCAGACTTAAGTTAGAAGAAGAACGGAGAACTTGTGGGTTGCTACCCTTATGCCATGATGTTGATACCATGTTCAAACCTCAAACCTCAACCTAGTGTTAATAAAACATAGTATTAGCCAAACAATACTTTTAAATATTGGCAAGAAAGGACAAGTATTTGCAAAATTACATTTGTTCCGTTCCTTGTGAAATAAGCGCAGTAAGTGCAAGCCAGTTAAAGTAAACATGTTGAGAGATATGCAATTTTTCCGTGGCAGCTTTCGGATGTGAGTCATGGATTTGCTTTCAAACATTGAAGAACCAAAAATCTGAGCTTTTGAAATGAAATTCTACAGAACTATTCTAAAATACATTGACCAAGAAGAAGAAAAAAACACTGACATCCTTCATGATCTAAGCATCGAGGAGAATTAGCTCATAAACAGCATTCTCTCCCGTAAGGTGAGCCACGGCCAGCTCCAGATATAAGTCCGTACAGCTCAAACGGAAATTCCCGTTTGTGTGAAGCTGCCGTGGCCGGTCAGTGGTAAGGTAATAATTGTTATCGAGTAGATTTATACACAAATTGAACTACAGTTTAAATAATTTGCTACATGCGTTATCGACCATTTATCAATATGTTTTTCGGTTTGCCCGGTCCTCTTAAACTTCCTAACTTTCCCGAAGATGCGATGTTTCCCGACGCTGTTCCTCTTCTTGACAAAAACATTGAACATTTCCTTACAGTAGATTATAATGTTCTACTCGTATTACCTCCCCCCCCCCCCCCCTAACTTGTGTTTCCCATTAGATGGCCAGTGATTTTCTTTACAGCATCACTGTGTGGGTTATAGGACCCCATTGTGTGTGTGTGTGTGTGTGTGTGTGTGTGTGTGTGTGTGTGTGTGGAGGGGGGGGAGGTAGAATTACTTCTTCCCCAACAAGCATGTCGTAAGAATTAGCTAATTATGAGGTTCCTTCAACGTCAGAATGTATCTGCCAGAGAGGCAAGGAACCAACAGTCTGCATGCATCTGAGCTAGATCTGTAAAATAGGATGTGCATGCACAACTCAAGTTCCGGCACAAGACTAAAGTCTAGAACTTTTAACCGAAGTTTACAGCCGGTGATTGCGAAACAAAAAATAAGAAGATTTACAGCACACTCATACAAACACACACACACACACACACATACACACACACACACACACACACTCTCTCTCTCTCTCTCTCTCTCTCTCTCTTCTCTCTCTCTCTCTCTCTCTCTCTCTCTCTCTCTCTCTCTCTCTCTCTCTCAGCTTCACCATGCTTTTTTCGATGTTAATATTTATAAACTGTATTAAGTTATTCAGTATGATTATTAAAACGTATGGGGTCTGATTTAGACCTTAGAAAATATGAGTCATTCGCGTATGTCTTAGCTGATTGAGAATCCCTGCACTAGGCATACGTCATCAGAGTAACTAAGTTACTCTACAAAACAAGATATCAGCAACATTTATCTTAGAAGCTACATCTCAGTGGCCCCAAGTCTGTCCCTAATTGTACACACATGCACATCAAACCTGGCCTAGCTCTTATTTTAAGCAACCATTCTGGCTGATGTCTTCTGTTAGAGTTAGTTAGTTAGTTAGTTAGTTAATTAGTTAGTTAGTGTAGTGAATTAGTTGGAATATTATCATTGCACTCCAAACATTTCCATATGTGCTCAGATAATTCCCTCAGTATGAACTCTCAGCCTTCTGTGACTAACAGTGTCAGTTCTTCGTTGATTGATCTGTTTGGATGCCCGGTGTGTCTCTCGCTTTTGGCTATGCCGATCTTAACTCCCGAGTCTTTCATTCTGGTGAGCGATTTCTGTTAGAGTGTTCTCATCTTATGTCCAGTAGAAGCAATCGCCATAAATTGCAAGACATTACAGCTTCTTCTTGCCCTGTAAGAAAATATTATAATTTTTAATAATGACGTCTTCAACTTAAACATTCATATAGCATAGAGACATACAAAACAGCATGGTGACATTCAAATATCACAGATCTCGCACTTTCAAATATTATTGGTACATCCATAAATCATAGATCTCGTACATTGAAATATTATTGGTACATCCAAACAGCAAAACGGTATTCACATTAGGGCGAGTATCTTTAGAGTTGAACCGATATTTACTGAGTCGTGATTTGGGTAAGCAGCCCCACCCAGAGCCGTCTTAGCAGCATTATGGGCCCTTGGGCAAACCAGTATACTGGGACCCCTACGACAGCTTCTCATAAGAATGAAATGTAAGTAGTCACTTAACATCATCATCATCTTTGACCTGCTGTGTCATTATAAGTCACATGGGGCTAGCAGTCTATGCCTCCATTCGGCTGTGTCCTGTGCAGTTAAATAAATATAATAGATGGAATTCATTTCAGCAGCTTTAGGATCTTTCTCATCAGTGTTTGTGTTGGGTTGTTTTTGTGTGTGGGTCGTCCACACCTCCTCAGTTGTTTTGTTTCCCATTTCCCATTTGTTTGGTTATACTCTGCTAGTTTCTTCTCAGAATGTGTCCAGTAAAGCGCTATCTTTTCTGTCTTACAATTGTTGATACTAGTGGTTTCCCAGGCGTTTATCTTATTTCTTCACTCCTTTTGAATTCGTTTCCTTTAATGTTCATCATTTGCCTCATTCATTTATCCTTGAATAGATTTAACTTTTTTTTTTCATGTCTTTAGTGGTTCTACAACTTTCCCTGGCGCATGTTTCATTGAAATAACATTATAATAACAAATACATAACTTGGTATTCAAACTATACAGGCTTCAAATGGCTTCTGATACTTTGGCAATAGGTGTACTATACTAGTTGTCCCATGTGGGATGTAATTTTTCGTTTTTTGAAGCCCCACCCTGGCTTTTACTGGGAGCCCGGAATATGGCCGGGCTATAAATATGGCCTAACGGCTGAAAGGGGTTTCTGGGACCTCTCCACGGGTATCCTCATCCGCATGGTGACACTTTGTGTCAACAGGTGTTTATTGCTTAAGTGATGTCCTGATGGGGTAAATTTCTTTTTCTTGTTCTTCTTCTTGTTCTTCTTCTTGTTCTTCTTCCTCTTCTTCTTCTTCTTCTTCTTCTTCTTCTTCTTGTTCTTGTTCTTCTTCTTCTTCTTCTTCTTCTTCTTCTTCTTCTTCTTCTTCTTCTTCTTCTTCTTCTTCTTCTTCTTCTTCTTCTTCTTCTTCTTCTTCTTCTTCTTCTTGTTCTTCTTCTTGCTCTTGTTCTTCTTCTTCTTCTTCTTCTTCTTCTTCTTCTTCTTCTTCTTCTTCTTCTTCTTCTTCTTCTTCTTCTTCTTCTTCTTCTTCTTCTTCTTCTTCTTCTTCTTCTTCTTCTTCTTCTTCTTTTTCTTCTTTTTCTTCTGCTACTGCCGCCGCTACTGCTGCTTCATCATTATTATCATTTTCTTCTTCTTTTTTTCGCCTTCTTCTTCTGTGTTCTCCCTTAAAATGCGGTTGGCATCGTGTTGTGTGGTTTCAATTGGACTTTAAATTTGTGCCTTTCAGTTCAACACTTCCGATTTCAGGAAATCCTTAAAATAATCACATTTTACAACACGTTTGTTAACTCATTCTGTTCCAAGCAGCGAACAACGTTTGACTGGACATTTTATTGTTGTTGTTGAAATATCATATTTAAGTCAAGGAATCTTTAAACACCCACACAATATATATATATATATATATATATATATATATATATATATATATATATATATATGTGTGTCTCCTACACGGATTGTGCAACTGGTCCATGCACAACTAGTACACCCAAAAATATAGTTATGTAATTTTTTTTTCTTTCGGACATTTGCAAAGGCAAAATGAGACTGCAAGATGTAAAAAATGGGTCTGATCTTCTTCTCACAAAAAATGAGGTCCCAGAACCCACATGAAAAAAAAAAGGGGGAGTGGGGGTGGTGGGGATATGCATTCTTACCTGTTGAACTTCATGCCCATGAGTGACGCTGATATTCTGCTGCGGTGTATCCTTATTTATATCATCCTTTCCCAGTCGTGTTGTTTTCTTTCTGAACAGTGAGCTAACATAGATCACAGCTAGCTGGGACAGAGGTTGGTCAGTCAAACAAAGGACATCCTTCACCAGATATTGAATCGCCATCGCGGTTAACACAAACATCAGTGCCCCTAGACCAAGAGCGCATATGGCAGCTGGTAAACTGTTGTAGGTTACGTAGGTCCATGTAACAAACGAAACATAGCCTAACCCAAACACACAAAATGTGGGCAGTAGTATCGCCAAGAGAATGAAGAACTTGAGGAACTCAACTGCCAACTGAACTGTAAGGCGATATATAAATGACACAATAAATGCGACAATTTTGCCGATGATCGAGAGACCGCTAGTCTCGGCCATCACTGAATGTCACTTGTTTCAATGTCACACGTGGACAAAACGTGGATGCATGTCTAGATTGTTACCTGCAGGAGAGAAACACGTTTAAGAATTAAAGAAATAATTTCAGCTAAATAGTGTATGTAAATAATAATGATTGTGTGTGGGTGTGTATGTTTGAAGTAAACCCAGTCCTTACAACCCCGAATGGATCAGTCACAGTTACGATGGTTTGGACATGTATGAGAATGAGATCAAATCAGCCACCATGGCAGGCATGGGAGGCTATGAACCACGGAACTAAACCACCAGGACAACCCAGGGTCCGCTGGGAAGACAACATCCGGCAGTCCCTAACTGAGGACTGGAATGGAACAAAGCCAGATAGAAAAACTGCTGAGAGAGAAGTCTGGCGATCTCTCTGGCAAACCTCTACACCCCAAGGTAGAAGAGGAGCGACTAAGTAAATAAGTAACTATTTGAAGATATCGCTAACCATTGCCTTTCTTCTTGCCAGTGACTATACTGGCTGTATGATCGCAGCCATTGTCACTTTAGTGCAGTGGTTTTCAGCACGGGGTGCACGTAGGCTTCAAAGAGAGCGCCAAGCAATTTAGAAATTGCATATGTACTTTTAATAAACGAATCAGTGAGACAATGGAGTTCTTGTCCATCGTGCTTGGAGTTTTTTTTTTTTTGGGGGGGGGGGGGAGGGGGGAGGGGGGAATAGGGTGTCCTATTTTTAATCTCTTTTAAAAGTTGGGGTGTTGGGGAGGAGGGGAGGGGGGGGGGGGCTTGCCATATATTCAAAGGGGCACTGCCGGAAAATGTTTGAAAACCACTGATTAAAGGTAATCCTATGCCTTTTGTCGCATTAGGAAGGTTGAGAGTCACTGTATTAAACAGACTAAAATTGGCCTGATAGCAAACGCACAACTAACTATTGAAACTGTAAACGGAACCTTATCGATAAAACAAACACGCATAATCAAAATAGATAGGTGCACATTTTGATGTTAAACAAAACAGCAATTTACTTCACAAGTTACTTGTGTCAACTTCACGTCAGAAATCACGCATTTCACCAGTCATATCCTGGCGATTAACACAGTGAACAATTACTCCTTTCTCTTGAGGTATTGTGACAGCCATAGCCGCTGAAATCGGGGAAAAAAAGTGGCGGCCGGGGGGTGGGGGGGGGGGGGGGGGGGGGGGAGTTGTGGCACCTTTGGCAACATGAGCACCCCTTCCCTAAAATTTACGAAGCACAATCCCCACTACCCACCCAACACCTCCATTTCCCCACTATATGTAAATGTTATACATTTAAGCATTTGTTTATTATATATTTTTTTCGTTTATTCTTTTTGACTATTTTGCACATTATAGAAATAATATAAATACAATTTTATTATTGCGCAGTGTAACAAGACAAGCTACTCAAGGCCCACTCTGCGCCCTGAGCCATGTATGGCTTAATCCTTGTTTAATCGCTTATTAGTTATAATAACTGTTACTATTATTAATTTTATTCTTGCGCAAATAAAAAGAAATTAATAGGGATGAGGGTCCTATGTTTTTTCTGTGGTAGCGCGTCTATGTCATTATACTGGCGACTAACTGTGCCACACTAGGAAAATTACTTATTTACCTCGCCGTATACCGATGGCTAGCTGTCAGGGCCGGATTACCCATTAAGCACACCAAGCACACGTTTAGGACATCAAAAAGGTTGGGGGCACCGCATACATTTTCAATAGCCTTGGAGCTAAGAGTGTTTTCTCGGTTGAAGTATATTTCAAAAATCCCATCTGAACAACAACGTAGCGAGGCTGGTTGAATGCCGTATCTCTGTTTATTATAGAAACTGACGTGTTATACAAGACTAGTTTGAGTATCCCATTACAGACTTTGCAATTACAAAGAGTAGGAGAAATTTTGTTTCCAATAAAAATGACGATGAAGTATACAAAAATACACTGTGTCCGTAAATTCATGGTGCACTTTTGACCGGTTACAGGAAATCAACGAAACAAGACAGAAATGTGAAAAGGAAAAGGAAAATACTCAAATGGAAGCCACATAGAACTGCACTGAATAGGTACGAAACTTGGAAAGTTTTCCTTCTATTTGGTGAAGATTTCACATTTCTATCTTGTTTCGTTGATTTCCTGTTACCGGTCAAAATTGCACCATCACTTTACGGAATTACTGATAAAATTATTTTCCTTAATACTGTAAGTTTGGTTTAATCTCGATACATTTTTACTTTTATTTTATAGTTTATTATTGGTTTTATTTGGAATGACGTATAAATGGGAGCACCAGTGCTGTCTTAACGCAGGGGCTCACTGGGCATTTCCCCGGGGGCCCCACAAGCATAGCGGCCCCAAGCTAATCTGTGTATGTCACGTGATCATTTACATTTCATTCCTGTGAGTAGTTGTAGGTGGGGCACCAGCACACGGGTTTGTTCAGGGGCCTATAATGCTGTTATAATGGCTCTAGGGGAGAGGGCGGCACTAAAATATGTCAAGTGCTTGGGGTATCAGCGTCTTAATCCGGCCCTGCTAGCTGCAGTACAATAGATTCGTTATTTATTTCTATAGTAGTATACAGTCGCCCAACTGTTGCACAGGAGATAAATTGCTCTGCTATCTTGTAGATACTGATGACCGACTGCTACCCAGTATATAATTAATTAATTCTAGGGTAGTATACTTTTCACGAACTGCTACACAACGGAAAAATTACTCATTTCTCTAGTAGTATACTTTCCACTAGCTGCTATCCAAAGAAAGAATTACTAATTTCTCTGGTAGTATACTTTCCACTTACTGCTATACAAAGAAAGAATTACTAATTTCTCTGGTAGTATACTTTCCACTAACTGCTACACAACGGAAGAATTACTCGTTTCTCTTCTAGTATACTTTCCACTAAGTGCTGCACAACGGAAGAATTACTCATTTCTCCAGTAGTATACTTTCTACACTAGCTGCTACACAACGGAAGAATTACTAATTTCTCTGGTAGTATACTTTCCACTAACTGCTGCACGACAGAAGAATTACAAATTTCTCCGGTGCTATAATTTTCACTAACTGCTGCACAGCGGAAGAATTACTTATTTCTCTGGTGGTACACTTTCCACTAACTGCTACACAGCGGAAGAATGACTTATTTCTCTGGTAGTATACTTTCCACTAACTGCTACACAGCGGAAGAATGACTTATTTCTCTGGTGGTACACTTTTCACTAACTGCTACACAGCGGAAGAATGACTTATTTCTCTGGTGGTACACTTTTCACTAACTGCTACACAGCGGAAGAATGACTTATTTCTCTGGTGGTACACTTTTCACTAACTGCTACACAGCGGAAGAATTACTTATTTCTCTGGTGGTATGCTTATGACTAAAGAAGACGGCGCTATAATGGATGCAATCTGGGAAGAAGGGGCGGAGAATCGCCAGACAGGCACTTAAGTGGGAAATAAAGGCATTAGGAAAGCAAAGACGTCTAAAAGAAACACTAAATCTAGTGTTGAGAGAGACCGAACCTGATGGATTGGATTTGATCCATAATATCAAAGGTATTGCACAGGATATAATGGAATGGAGGAAGATCCCGTGAGCCCTATATGATATGTGGCACAATAGGACAATGAGTTCGGAATGAGATACAGCCGAACTAAACTGACTTTCTACCCCACCAGGACATCACTCAAGCGATAAACACCGGATGACACAAGTGCCACCATGTGGATGAGGATAACCCATGGAGAGGTCCCAGAAACCGCGTTCAGCCATTAGACCATATTTATGGCCGGGCTAGATTGTGGCCGCATGGCAAGAGCCAGGGTAGGGTTTCAAAACAACGAAAAATTGCATCCCACAAGGAGACGACTAGTTACAATTTAGATACAGCCAACTGGCTGCTGCCCTATATGACCTATACGCCTAAAGGCGTGGAAAAGGGACCTTTACTTTTTACTTTACAACTGGCAGCTATTCACAATGGACCGACAAATGACTCATTTCTGAGGCAATGTACTGTCGGCTGGCTGTTTTACACCGATGATACGACGGTTTTACGGTGCACTCACTGGCTGCAGATGTCAAACAGCTGAGTCATCGCATTGAGCGTCAAGTCGTTCTATCCTTCGTCATTGCATGGAGCTCTCCCCATGTCCTCCCAATCTTTCTAACCTCGTTCTCCAGCTCTCTTCTCCGTGTGTTTTTTTGGCTTTCCTTTATTCCTATGCCCCTGTGGGTTCCAATGCAAAGACATTCTAGTAATGCTGTTCTCCTGTTTTCTCAGTGTGTGCCCTATCCAACGCCAGCGTCTTTTCCTCACTTCCTGATCCACTGGAGCCTGTTTAGTTCTCTCCCAAAGTTCTACATTAGTTATTCTATCATACCATTTTATTCCCTCTATTCTGCGCAAGCACCAGTTAATGAATGTCTGTAATTTATTTGTAATTGCCTTGGTTGTTCTCCATGTTTCCGCCCCATACAATAGTACTGATTTGACATTAGAATTAAAAATTTTTAGTTTATTTCTTTTAATTTCTTTTGACCTCTACAAATTCCCTAGTGCTATGAAAGCCCCTCTTGCCTTTTGTATTCTTATTTTAATATCTCTATCAGTTCCCCCATCTTTATCTACATTACTGCCTAAATAGGTGTACGACTCCACGTCTTGGAGTGGGGTGCCATTAAGAGAAACCACATTACTATTTGCCTGATTTATTCTCATTATCTTTGTCTTTCCTTTATGGATTTTCAGACCAAGCTGCTGTGATCTCGCATTAAGTATATTTAATTTATCTTGCATCTGATTCCGTGAATGGGACAGAAGAGCAATATCATCAGCGAAGTCCAGATCATCAAGCTGTTTTGTAGGGGTCCACTGAATTCCATTCTTGGTGTTAGCAGTTACTGTTTTCATAGTCCAGTCTATAGCCAGTAAAAATAAGAGAGGCGACAAAGGACATCCCTGTCGCACACCTGTTTTTATTTCAAATGCATCTGCTAGCCTTCCCTCATGAAGAACTCGACATTTCATGTCTTTATATGTTGCCTTTACTAAGTTGATAATTTTCTGTGGGATTCCATAGTGCCCCATCCATTTCCAGAGAGATTCCCTATCTATGCTGTCAAATGCTTTTTCATAGTCTATAAATCCAATGTAAAGTGGTGAGTTCAGTTCAATGCTTTGCTCTATTATAATACGTAATGTGGCTATCTGATCAGTACAGGATCTGTTTGACCGAAAACCTGCCTGCTCATCTCTTAGCATTTTATCAATAGCATCTTTTAATCTTTCCAAAATACTTCTACTTAATATTTTTCCAGGAACTGACAGCAACATAATTCCTCTATAGTTTTCACCGATATGGACTTGGAAATATTGATTATAATTGTTACAAAGATGTCAGAGGACTATAAAGGTTTTCTTCTTCTTCGTTGCGTTCGGTTTCGTATGCTCAGATCAGACCATCAGGTGGGTTGCCTCTATGAACTCGCATGTCAGTAGCAGGTCCTTCATGGTTCCCTATAGCTTGCTCTCCACACTTTGCAATTGAGGCCAGGTGTCTTTTCGAAGTAAGTAGAGTGGGCAGGTCTGCAGAATGTGCTACGGTGTTTGTGTTCCTGTTTGACAGGCACGCTGTGGGGACTGTACAATTTTTATTTTATGCAAGCGGTAATGAGCCTGCAGTGTCCTTTTTGTATACGAAAAATTGTTGTTTGTTGCTTTCTGTTGAGTCGGCTAAAGGGATCTTGTGGATGTTTACTGTTTGTTTTCTCCACAATTCCTTGTATTTTCCTTTAAAAGTGTTCTGATTTCTGGTAATGACAATAAATGGGCGTGTTGTTTCTCTTTTGTTTCATTTTTTGCAAGTCTGTCTGCTAACGCATTTCCTGGTATGCCGCAGTGAGCCGGGATCCACCGGAGAACGATTTGATTGTTTTCTGTGAGTCTGTTTAGCTGGCGGGTCAGTTCTCTCTTCATGTTGTCTCGTGGATCCCTGGGAGTCGCCTGGAGGACTGACATGCAGTCACAAAGGAAATTTTTTTTACTGTTTTTAATTTTTCTTTCCTCGAGCACTTTGGCTGAATCAATAATTGCTTGCTGCTCTGCTCTGAAGTTTGTTGAGTCTTCCAGAGGTGCATGACGTTTCTACTGTGGTCCCATCTTGCAGCATGATGACCGATCCAGCTCCTCCGTTTTTTCCTGCTCCCTCCAGTGATACATCGGTGTATACGTGTGTCCATTAGGGTTTTAGATTATAGTTGTAGACATGTTCAAGGGTCTTTGCATGCAGTACTAGGTCACATTCTTCAGCCTTTCCGTCTAAGCCAGGAATTATTGTTGTGACTGCATAGTTAGGCTGTAGGTCTATGTTGTGGGCCTGAATCATTTCCCATGTTGAAGGATCTTTAGAGAGTATGTCACTGTTTTTTGTGTAGTACAATTTTGAAAGATAGTGAAAGTTTTGTCTTGTCAGTCGGTTTTTTGTTAAGTTATTTGCCATTCTGTGCATGGGGTTGTTGATAAAGGTTTTTAAAGGTCCACTTTCCACACCTTGAAAAGGCCCTCGGCCAACTGACGTTGCAACCAGCTCATCTCATCATGTCCATCCGATATTTTTATAATCTTACTCTCTAGTTCCCATTCCCGTGTGTGTGTGTGTGTGTGTGTGTGTGTGTGTGTGTGTGTGTGTGTGTGTGTGTGTGTGTGTGTGTGTGTGTGTGTGTGTGTGTGTGTGTGTGTGTGTGTGTGTGTGTGTGGTGTGCTTTTATTTCGATTGCACCTGTGGGTTTGAGGGCACAGTTCTAGTTATACTCGTCTCAAATTTTCTCAATGTGTGTCCTATCCAAAGGCAGCGTCTTTCTTCACGTCTTGAATAATGCATTTTTAAATGTGAAAATTGTGAGAAGTTGGAGTTCAAATCTGGTAAAGGGGGTTAGGGAAAAACAACTGAGGTTACACTGGCTGGAAGAGTCACTACCTAATGTAACTATGGATTTATAGTTATGATGAGTGCAAGTCGGTTGTTTTACATATTGTATTTATCCATGTTATTTCATGAGGGTTATAGGTTACGAATAAAAATACGCGATCGTTTAATATTAAAGTAGATTAATAGTTATTTTTAAAAATTATCTAAACACGTTATTCAAAGCGATCGAGACGCATGAAAATATTACTGTATTGTGTTGTTTTGAAAGATGCTAAGAACTGAAGACAAATTATAACATAAGTGCCGGAACATAGAGATTCAGGTCCCTTAAGCCCCTATCCCGCCCCAGTTTTTTTTTTTTTTTTTTTTTTTTTTTTTGGGGGGGGGGGGAGAGCTCAGTCCCCCTCTCCCAACACGTGTTGCAAGGTTAAGGGTTAAAGTCGAAAGGTTCGACTTCATTGCACCCGGTTTGATCCCATACGGCTCGGTCTGTCTTCACAAAACGGTTAGCTGCCTGCCGAGAGCGTCACAAAGAGCACTCACGCCGTAGTTCCAGCGACGATCCCGGAGATGTCCGTAACAATTGCACTCATGAACTGAACGACGCAGCCTTAAAACAAACCCCTGACCTTCAGAGCGCAAGGCAAACGGCTTGACTATTTCGCCAAGGAGAGCAACTTCCCCCCCCCCCAATAACTGTTTAAGGGTACTAAGAGACTGCCTTTTACCATGCAATTTTTTTATAAGGAGTAGAAAATTATAGGGAAGAGAAAAAGTTGGTAAGAAACAACAATTAGTTTATGTTAGCTTTACAAAATCGATCACAATAAACAAACAAAGGACTTTGCGGCGATTAGCCTTCATCAGCACATAAAGGACAACACAGTACACATACACAAATAGGCTCTAACTATGAAGTGACTACATATGACTCTAATGTATAGAATAAATGATACTCATCTAGTGTCCCTGTTTGAAAGTATGTGTTTGTACATTTCATATTATTTCACTGAATCTTCTGCTGCTTCTTAACCAGCTGTAAACTCTGGCGGTAAGTTCTGGTTGTTCATCCACTTTTGGACTGTAGTCCTGTTCCAGAACCTGAGTGCTGCGTGTGCATCCGTTTTACAGATCTGACTCGTTTGTATGCAGACTGCTGGTTCCTTGCCTCTCAGGCAGATGCACTCCGACTTCAAAGGAATATGCCAATAAGTCGACTCTTATGACATGCTTTTGGGTAGGCAGCGGGTCTATTCCCCCCCCCCTCCCCCATAATAGGGCCCTGGAAACCACACGCGGATATTTCACTATATTATTATATTATTTGCAATTCAGCACAATAATAATAATGATGATAATAATAATAATTTAATAATAATAATAATGAAATAATCTGAAACGTATAAACAGTAAAGAAACATGGTAGCTCGTGTCAACTGGTGAAACAACTGATGATGATGATGGTGGTGATAAGCCTATATAAGTAACATGTGATTGTGCTAGCGATGGGTATAGATAACACTGATTCTTGTGGTTTATACGCTTGTTATAAGTTATCTCACATACATTTTTTTAAAGACAACTGTCATCACTAAATCTAAAAACAGATCAAGTCTCCAGCGACAAATTTCTAACATTATCAGCTTACTGTTGACAAAGCTAACTGCATTTCTTACTGTTCAAAGCAAACTTGACTTTATAGTTCATGCATTGCACAAGGATAGAAAAACATTCCAACAGCTGAAATGAAAGAACTGAAATCCTATAAATAAGTCCAGATGTAGGATATAATACCTAGTTCGACTGATACAGGCTGTGTTCAAGCCAGGAAGGATAAATAGCATGTGCAAAGTGTGACGTTTGCTAGCTAGCGTGACCTTTTTACTAGGACACGGGAAAAACGCGAGTGAACTGGGCGCTGGTTGCGTATGAATAGAATTCTGTAATCCTAGAGCACGCTCAATTCAATAAATAATGCGAGGGTTTGGATCCTGTTGAGTTAATGATTGAGCGTGTGCTTGTGTGCTTGCGCTCTAGTGTGTGTGTGTGATGTGTGTATGCATGCAAACATTCCATGCAGTGATTTCTCCCTAATCGATAATCTCGAACGGGGATGGAGGAGAATCTCTTTGGCCAGGTGATTAAACAGTTAACTTGCCATTATGGAGGCTGTGAGTTCAGTTTCTGACCCCACCATTCAGTTGGCGAATGCAGGCGATTCGGAAATCCCTGCAGGTCATCACTGAAGCTACGAAGATTAGTGCTTTGTGTCACGTTCTTTGATGGAGAGAGACCCAAACACATAGGATAAAACCTGATACGATAAGTCGACCCTCTGGCCTTAACCCCCCCCCCCTCTTTCTCTCTCTCTCTCTCTCTCTCTCTCTCTCTCTCTCTCTCTCTCTCTCTCTCTCTCTCTCTCTCTCTAATCGTAATATATTCTATAGATCTGGATCCAGCGTCTTATGGATCACATCAGTTGTTGATAATCCCCTACCTTACAGACAAAGGTCATCTTGGCCAGTCTCTGGTTTAAAGAACATATTATTTATCAAATTATCACTATGTTTTTAATATGTATAATTTCATAAAATGTTACAAAAAAATAAGGGCACCACAGAGAGCAATGTTATACAGATACAGCGGTAACAGAACCAGAGGTCGACAACGCAGAATATGGACCGCAAAAAAAATCATACACTAAAAAATTGTTATACTAAGCGAACAGAAAGAGCCCGTTCCAGTGATCTCTTCCTTCCTTGATGCCGCGAGGCATTCCTGGAGTAGCGAAAAGAAGAGAAGAAGAAGTTTAATGAACATCGTTTATCTGCACATCTTAAATGCTATAATTTTAAAAGATATGCAGATGATAACATTGTTCACTTGCAGACAATAAAGAAGGTCTGTAGTGTTTAGTGGATGAGCTAACAGTTCACAGTGAGAAACTAGGCTTAGGTAAAGTGAAGAAGACGTAAATCATGGACATCACTAAGAAGAAAGAAACACCACAGTGTGAAATACAAACAACCGAAAAATTCTGAAGCAAGTTGATAGATACAACCATTTAAGTACAGTCACAACATCTGATCCTGACGGGACTGTACTGTACCGGCACGGCACATCATGACGACTACGACGACGATGATGATGATGATGATGATGAGGTCAAATATTCATTAGTCTTTTCCAGGCAATTGGTTTTAGTTACTCTGGCAGTCTGGACAATTCGCAACTTGTACCTCGCTTATTTCCCTGTCTTCAAAGTCTTCCTAACTTGTTTTCCCTACATGTGAAAAAAAAAATGAAGCTATTTTTTAAGAGATTTCATGCCGTGACTGATTATAAGAGCATGGAAAGGAGAGATGACACTGCATGTTGGGAAAGTTGGAGCTTGATGAAAAGAGGTGGTAGTACATGAGTGTTGGGTATAATTTGAGGGAGGGAAGTGACATTACATCCTGAGTTTGTACAACTTGAAGGAGAAAGGTGACATTACATCTATGGTGGTTAAGTGAAAGCTTGACTGAAAGAGGTGATATTATATCTGTGGTGGTTAAGTTAAAGCTGGAAGGAGAGAGGTGACATTACATCTGTGGTGGTTAAAGCTTGAAGGAGAGAGGTGATATTACATCGGTGGTGGTTAAAGCTTGAAGGAGAGAGGAAACATTACATCTGTGGTGGTTAAAGCTGGAAGGAGAGATGTGATATTGCATCGGTGGTGGTTAAAGCTTGAAGGAGAGGGGATTTTACATCGGTGGTGGTTAAAACTTGAAGGAAAGAGGTGGTATTACATAAATGACGGTGACGGCTTGAAGAAGAGAGAGGCCATTACATATTCATGGTAGTTAAAACTCGAAGAAAAGAGGTGACACTATATACTTGACGGTCAGAGCTAGTTTCAGTTTCTGTATTAAGAATGATCTTTGGCATTATCCTTGATTTAATTCGTTAATTATCACATGTGAGATAAAATACACGAGAAGAGCCACCCAAAAAAAAAAAAAAAACCCCCCACTCAAGACCGAGTCAGAAATGAAACTGTTTAGAAAGACTGTAGGAACAGCGCCTTGAACCCTTGCATTTAGAAGGAGAAAATAAAATTGTTCCGTCATCTCGTTAGAAGGTAGCCACATAAACCGCCAACTGAGGCGCTTTTCTTCGAGGGCATCAGCTGTAACCTCTGGTGGGAAAGTTCTGGTTGTTCGTCCACTTCCGTTTTCAGATCTGACGCATGTGTGTATAGAATTTTGGTTCCTTACCACTCAGGCAGATGCACTCCGACTTCGAAGGAATATCCTAATTAATCGACACCTACTACATGCTTCTGGATAGGCAGTGGGTATTTTCTTGTTTTCCCCACACTGGGGCCCCAAAAACCACACTGGGATACATACAGACACTCATCATCATCAAGAGCCTTTCCGACTGGTGTGGGCCATCATGACTGTCCACAATCTGCCATCCGCAACTGCTTGTATCATTTCGTGTGTTGACACATCTCCATACCATTAAAAAAGGCTGTTAAGAATCTTCTCGAGCTGTCTTCCTCTGTCTCTCCTTCCACAGATCTTTTCAGTGATCACAACTGGTTCCATCTTCCCTCTCCCTCTAATAGTACCGAAAATTATGACTGTCTCTTTCTAATGTTTCTTATAGGTTGTCTTCGAGCACTTGCCTCTTTCAAAATATCTGGGTTGCTCTTCTTAACTGTCCAAAGAATTCTAAGGATTCTTCTATAAAACCACATCTTCGAGGCCTCAAGATAATGTTCAGCTTGTTTATTAATTGTCCCGCAGATACAGCGGTGTGTAAAAACTGGCTCTGTATAACATGCAAACATTCTTTTCCTAACCTAAAATGATGTGAACTTATTGCACAAAATGTTCTTTATTTTATAAAAGGGCAGTGTTGGCCTGTCCTGTTCTGTTCTTTATCTCTGGATGCATCTTCCATGGGATGTTATTCATATACCTAGATTCTTAAATGTATATACACAAGGGCTACAGCTGGGGAAATCTGATGTGAGAGCAGAAGGGCGCGCAAGATTAGTTTGACTTAGTGACATTGAAACGAAAACACACCCACACGGAACGACCAAAGCTACTCCCATCCACCAAGTGATAGATCGCAAATTGTTTCTCCTGACGAGGCTTAACTACAAAAGAGACAATTGATGACGATGATAATGATGATTAGTAATGCAGTGGATACCTTCCCACTGTGGACTTCACGGAAACGAAAAAGCTGATAAACTAGCTAAGGAAGGTGCAACTGAAGAACAACCTGACATACCAGTCTCTTATCAACAGAAGAAGAGAATGATCAAATCAATCAGAATGCCACCGAAACTGGCACAAGATGATTACCATATTATGGACAGACCAGAGCAAGTCATTATCCTTCGCCTTAGAACAGGGCACAATCGACTTCGCTCCCACATGTACAACAAATTTAAGATTGGCCAATCAGCCATGTGTACTTGTGGACTGGCACCTGAAACAACAGATCACATCCTTCAAGACTGTCCCAGATTCAACGCTTTCAGGCAAAACCTTTGGCCAAAAGAGACACTTGTGGAAGTCAAACTTTACGGGCCGCTTAGTGAATTACAAAAGACAGTGAAATTCATACTAGAGACAGCTTTGCAGATATAGACAATTTATTTCATGCGAACGAAAGAAGAAGAAGAATAATGATGATGATAATGGTGATGATGATGATGAAGATGATGATGATGTAAACTATCAACAGTTCTTTCACATTGCCCACTTTCATCGATATTGTCTGCAAGTGCACTGTTTCACACTAGGAATGCATGATGTCATAAAGTATGTCCGTTCATTGATCATGGCAAATGACAACATCACTCACGGGATGAAGACACGTTCAACACCCAGAAATTATCAACAGCCATTGGTTAAACGAGTGTTTAGCCTCTATAACCTGTTAACGGTCCTGGTTTAAATAAAAGTTTAACACTGAAAACTTAGTAACGACCGTCCGTTTATTAAAAAGGTATTAATAAGGAATTGGCAATAGCTGCCACCATTAAAAGGTTGGCTTATGAGCCTTATGTTTGTTCATTGTTCATTGTAAAGATTATCTTTATCGCACATCGGACATGACTATAAGTACTTTGATCTCCTCTTGAGTAAGTCTGCTAGTGTTTTTACTAAAAGTGCGGGGTCAGGAGTGGGTCAGAGTGTCCGAGCAAGTTTCAGACTTGTGCAGGGTTCTTACGGTTTACCACTTTGGATCGTGAGTGCAGAGACTGGCCAGCTGGCGCTACAGAATCAGCTGTACACACAGGCCGTAATTGTCACTGATTTACAGAGCATGCTAAAAAGATGGAGGCGGGTATGCTTCGTGCAGAGTGGCAAGCATCACTTCAGAGTCCTGGGTATTTAGTATCCTTTCGATATTCCCTCCAGGTCATGCCGGTGTGTTGGGAAATAGCAGGCAGATAAACTGGCCGGTTCTGCACCACTTGGTGATGCATTAATGAGAGCCCTTTGCGAGCGAGTGAACAGTGCGGAAGCGGAAATAGAACATTATGGTCTGAGGAGAATGGCGCTGCGAGGAGTTACCAGGGGATCTGGCCGACGCTCAACACTCAAGGGAAGGGCGAGACGGATATACAGACAGTTACTGGTGCCATCGGAATTGAAACTCTTCGTTTGCTGCTGAAGATGGGGAGGAGCGCTTATGGGGGTGTCCCGAGTGCTATGATGTCTATTCTTAATTCAACATTCAACGTTCCATCTTCCCATCTTTCTTTAGAATAAAACACGATAAGCAAACGGCAAGCATGTTAAACATGACACTGTCAAACAAGAATTCCTCTTTGAACCCACTTGTGGGAACACATGGTAAGCAGAAATGGTACGATTGCCATGACGCGACTCTGGTACCACTGTCCGACTCGCATACCACTGCCAGACTCACATACCACTGTCCGACTCGGATACCACTGCCAGACTCACATACCACTGTCCAACTCGGATACCACTGCCAGACTCACATACCACGCCGGACTCACATACCGCTGCTGGACTCGCATATCACTGTCCGACTCGGATACCACTGCCAGACTCACATACCGCCGCTGGACTCACATACCACTGCCAGACTCGCATATCTCTGTCCGACTAGCATATCTCTGTCCGACTCGCATATCACTGCCAGACTCGCATACCACTGCCAGACTCACATACCACTGCCAGACTCGCATACCGCCGCTGGACTCGCATACTACTGCCAGACTCGCATACCACTGCCAGACTCGCATACCACTGCCAGACTCACATACCACCGCTGGACTCGCATACCACTTCCAGACTCACATACCACTGCTAGACTCACATGCCGCCGCTGGACTCGCGCATACCAGTGCCAGACTCACATACCACTGCCAGACTCACATACCGCCGCTGGACTCGCAGACCACTGCCCTAATCGCATATCTCTGTCCGACTCGCATACCACTGTCCAACTCGGACTACCGGACTCGTATAACACTGCCTTGACTCGCCTGCAACTGCCCGAAAGCCAACTGTCTAATAGCTTAAGTTGCTTGGTTGTATCGCCGTTAGTGGACATTGCAACTAACCTCAAAATGTGCGGGCTGTCTCTGGTTTTACTAGAAAATGTTCAAGTTCACTAGTTGTGCAATTGTTCTAAACGGTCGGCTCTCGATAACAAAAAAAGTAAAGGACCCTTTTCCACGCCTTTAGGCGTATAGGGCATATGGGGCTAGACCTATATTTTATAGACCAGCGGCAAACGATGGGTGATGTGGTCAGCAATACGCCGGCCGCCTCTACTTCCCGGGACTGCACCCGGTACCCACTCAAGGCTGTGTCAACCTAGGAGCCAAGGTCATTTTTGAAGAAAAGTCCGGCTCCACCAGGAAGCGAACCCACGACCTTCTGATCCGCGGCGCCCGTCTAGCCGCTCTGCCACGGCGACTCCCTCAGCTCTCGATACCATTGATTAAATAAACGTAAATGCTTCTGGTACTGATCCTCAGCTGTCATCTAACTAGGTATTTCGGAATTATGAACCGCGTTCGTAGCCTACGTAAAGGACCTTTCCATGCTTTCAAATGTACTGGGCATATAGGGCTAGACCTATATTTTATAGACCAATCGGCACTCAGTGGATGATGTAGTCAACATCACACCATCCGTCTTTACCTCCCAGGACTTGACCTGGGGCGCATTTGAAGCTGGGTCGACCTGAGAGCTAAGGTCATGTTTAAAATGAAAATCCAGCACCATGTGGATTTGAACCCACGACCTTTTAATAGACAGACGGGCCTCTGGTCGCTACATCGCAGAGGATCCCAGCCAATGGCTTAAATCAAGTTATATTTGTTGTTTAAATTTACTCCTTCGGTTCAACTCCTAAAATCGCAGGCAACCTGTCGCAGCTTTCTCTCCCCCAGATAACCAAAAAGGCGACATTCATGAAGTGTTGATGTTGTTCGAGGTGTCGTCACCGCAACACAATGGTATCCCGTGACAACACTTGGGGACGGTCTAATGTGCCTATCTATTTCGTGCTTGTTGGTGAGAACTGCATATTGATGTTTTATCCTGTGTGTGTGAGCATGTCGCCGGTTTCCTGTCAGTTTGCTTCCTTTTGTTTATGGTAGTCTCATAATCATAGTGTTTAACAATGTCTGTGTCAGAGTGTATGTGTGTGAATTTGTGGGTTTTGTGTGGTTGGGAAAAAGTGTGTGTGTGTGTGTGTGTGTGGGGGGGGGGTTGAAAAAATGGGGGAGGGGTAGATTGACTGCTTCTGCATCACATTGTGATGAGTTAATTGAAGAAGAAATATGTATGTATATACCAGACTTGGACAGTGACAGAAAAATAAAAACGTAAAATTACAACTGAAATGAAATTCCCACAAAGAGATCTTAATACAAAAAGACCAGAAACGAAAAAATCCTAAGGAAAAGGGTGGAAAAGGGGGTGGGGGGGGGGAGGTGGGGTTGCAGCAGCTACGAATTTCATTACAATTCAACAGGTGGCATGTTTTGGTCATTTAACTCGGTTGTCAATAAATAGGATCCACAGTAAGCAATTATGTACAGCGAAGACAATAGCGACCATGCAAGCGATGGACACATTGGATGACAGAGCCTGGGAATCCCCATTTACGAAGCGCAAACAGGCACTTTCTCGTAAGCTCGCCACTTCAGCGACAGAGTCCGCAAGTCTCTTGAAAGTCGTTTTATTTTTACCTTGGGCACCATAATACCCAGTGGACTAAACTGTCAACACAGTTTTATCTAAAATTATCCTGTTATAGCCCGTGGCATTCTCTGGCTATTTATTCACGGACCCAACTTGCCTCTTCATTCCATTGGCAAGACATCGACCTGGCTGCTTCGGTATACGTCAGTTACGTGTTGTGTGTATTCTTGTGGTTTTATTTGATTTATGTATGTGCCGATGAGGGTTCTATAGCCGCAACGTTCACTTTTCGTTTATGTTTGTTATATGTGTGTATGCTATTAGTGTTTGCCAAGAATACAGTCTGTGCCGTTTGCTTCATAAGGGACAATAATGTGTTTTCCGTGTAGTTGTCTTTGACACAGGAAGGAAGCAGCTAGGGGTGACCTGTTAGCTGATATGTTGGAACTGTAATTTGACTTGACCAAACTGTCTTTGACCAGGGCTCGTCTTGCAGCTCACAGCTCTGGCCAGCAACTCGTGGGTGGTGGTAGACTGCATACAAACTGAGGAATGTCCCTACAAGAAGATCCTCCTGGAGTCGGGTCCCGGCTGTTATAGAACTTACTACAAGCTCGCTGAAATTGCCAGGGCGGGACTGTGGACCGTTTGTTACCAGTTTCCACATTTAGAGGAAGGTCACACAGATCCTTACTGCGCGGATTTTTCCGAGGATTTTTTCCAAGGTGATGTTTTTTGTTTAACTAAGCATGTTGAATCGTAATGATCATTCATTTGTTGTTGTTGTGTTTACACTGAATAAAGGAAGTTAACAAAACCTAACCCTTGACCCGTTAGGGTCGTTGAGGAGTGTTTGTGGAAGTACTAGCACAGAAAACCCTACATCTTTCTCTTGTCTTTCGCTTGATGAATAAGTGTACGATAGCGTTATCCTGTCCATTTCTTGCTGTTGTCAATCCAGGTTCTTCTTTGTCCTCCTTTTCTTCGACTACCCTTCAGTACAGAAATGCATGATGGATAAAGAAAGTTAAATGCATTCGAAAACAAATTTCTTAGGAAAATAATAATACATAAAATGGGATGAATTCAATAGGGGTGAAGAAATTAAATAAAAAGTATGGGAAACCACTAGTATCAACAGTTATTAGTCAGAGAATGTGGCGCTCTGCTGGGCACATTCTGAGAAAAGACCAAAGGAGAATCGCTAAACATGTATTGAAATCGGAAAAAGAGGGATTGAGAAAACAAGGACGTCCAAGAGAAACCCTAAGGCGAACGTTGGTAAGAGAAGCCAAAGGTGCCAAGCTGGATTCCATCCATGATATCGAAGTGATTGTACAGTATAGAAGGGAATGGAGAGAACGACTGCAAGCGCTGTGTGATATATAATAGAATAACAGGACACCGAATGATAAATGAATTTACATTGTATATTTAAAAACACCCTATGACACATCCAGCTACAACACTTACCCATATTGCTCCAGTTGTTAGTGTATTTATGTCTATTTCAAAATATTATTATTTCAAGTCATTCAGACCCACATATGTATGGTACTAACTACATACTTTCTGTGACAGAATGGATGAAATATTAAAGTTTATGTGTGAAATATATTATGCTATTCGAATCCCTTTAAACACTCATATAAATAAGGTATGAGCCAAACAGCTCTCTGCCAGTGTCTTCGTGCTGACTAGACTCCAGAACATGTCTTGCAAGACTGTTCTCTCCTGGCGGAGCTGCGAAGCAACATGTGGCCACACCCAGCAGACCTGACAACTAAGCTTTGGAGAAACCTAAGAGATCTTGAGATGACGTCCCAGCTTATGGCCCCGAGTAGATAGAGCACATGACCAGAGATCGCCGAAGAAGAAGTATCTCTTTAATTACTTCTCTGAATAGTAAGTTTCTTCTTCTTGGTTCGTCTCATATTTATGTTTCAGTTGTAATTGTGTTGGTCCTGTTTTTCGCTACAGAAGAGAAGCTGCTTGTTACCCAAACGCTGTGCATCTTGAGCGTGTTCTTGACAACCTTCGGATTGCTGGCGCTTGGCTGTGACAGACTGCTGATGCTCAAAAACAACGCCTTTTCTTCCAGCGCTTCCGTATTTTTTGGTGTGGCTGGTAAGCGTTTTCAAGCCACCTTTGATTTAATCATGCACTTTTTGTGTTCAATAGCGACTGAGTGGCATTCTGGGCTATGTCGAAGTCGTCCCCTGGTGGGATGCAATTTTTCGCTTCTTGAAGCCCCACCCTGGCTTTTATAAGGAGTCCTGAATATAGCTAGGCCACAAACGTGACCATAACGGCTGAAAGAGGTTTCTGGGACCTCTCCACGGGTGATCCTCATTCACATGGTGGCACTTTGTGTCAACAGGTGTTTATCGCTTGTGTGATGTCCTGGTGGGTTACAACAAACAAACAAGCAAGCAAGCTTTCTGGAAGATTCAGAACTGTTTAAAGCAGCAGTTCTCAGTTTGCCGGTCGCGACTCTTTTTTTTTTTTTTTATCGAACGATCCTTTCACAGCAGTCGCCGAAGACCATCGGAAAACACATACTCATTGAAGCTATGAAAGAATATGGTCGCCACAACATCAGGCATTAGGAAGGTTGAGAGCCACTGGTTTAAAGGCAAGATAACTGGCCTTGCTGCACGTGGTCTCTCTCTCTCTTCAGAGCCACTCGCCACCTATCGAAAGCGTCGCACAAGGAACCAACTCTCTAACTCCAGCGACGATGCCAAGGGATTGATTAAAAACTGAGCTTGAGAATTTAACGACGCATCCGAGAAACGACATCACGACCTTCAGAGCGCGATGCGAGCAGCTTGACCACTTCGCCACAGAACACCGCTTCCATCCCCAACCCTCCACCCCCGCCCCAGGGGAATAGTAATACCGATATATTTGGAACAATGCAAGCTGCAAAAGCTACTGGACCGTGAGAGCGGTGCTCTATCTGACCGCCTGTGGCAGTTTAATAACGCTTTGCCCTGACGTGGAGTTTTCAGCCTGAACTTCCTCTTTCTAGGAAATGGCTAGTTTCATTCTCAGTGTGCTACCTGCTACTGAATGAGTTAACTCGCAAAGTATAATATGCGAATAAAAGTAAAGGGTATTTTCTACATTTTCAGTCGGATTAGACACATGGAACTATATTTATATTTTGTAGACCAGTTGGCACTTAGTGGTTGATGTCAACAGCACGCTGGCCATCTTTACCGCCCAGGACTTTACCTAATACCCATCGTGTCGACGTGGGACCTGAATTCACAACCTTCAGATCAACAGCGGCCCACACACACAAAACTGAGAACGGGGCTGGAGAGTGACGTTAAAAACATGGGTAGGATATGGGGTGAACTGTATGCAATGGCAAAGGATACAACGATTTAGTGTGAGTTGGTTGAGGGCCTTTGCTTCATTGTGGGTTAGAAAGACAGAAGAAGAAGAAGTTTACTTGTACTAAATTAATTTCATGAACGCAGCGTGGAGCTGAACTGAAACATAGAAAACAGCTGACACAATTACTAATAAACTACAAACATTCATTAACTGGTGGCAGGACAGCATCACTAATGTGGTGCTTTGGATGATAACTAAGCAAATCCCGGCGAATCGGGGGAGGGGGGGGGGGTGGATCTAGCGCTGGGTAAGACACGTTGAGAAAACCTGAGAACACCATAACTAGAATGTCTTTGCAATGGAACCGAAAAAAAAGAAATAGAAATAAAGGACAGGGAGAGGGGAGCTGAAGAGTGAAGTTAAAACGATACTGAAAAAGAGGCTAGATATCGAGTTTAAAAAAAACATAGGAAAGACACAGAGAGTGAACTGCATGCGATATCAAATGGTAGGTAGATTTGGCGTAATTGTGGTTGTGAATCAACGTGATTTGGTTGAGAGTCTATGCTATTAATTTCGAGACTCTTATCGACATTTTTTGTAGTAGCAAAAATTCTTTCTTTTATGTGAAATCTTACAGGATTGTGTGGACTGGCCGGCTGCATCGGTGCTCATCTGACCCTCACACAAGGCTACGTGGTTTTATATTATTCAGAGAAGTCCGTCATCTTTAAATGGTGGGCTTTTCATTTATTCATGGACGGTGCAATTTTGAATTTAACCGCCTGGCTTCTAAACGGCTGGACTAAAAAGAAAGCTTGCTCGCTGAAGCACTGGTGAATATACTAACGATTCAAGCTCAGATCAGTAATCGAAAATTCAGAGTGGGTTAAATTAGCAATGTAAACAGTGTTTGTTTTGAGTAACGTTTACGGAACACATCAGTGGGTAATCGATGCAGATTTCAAGCAGTCTGCTTTTATACAAGCAGTCTGCTTTCATAATGAAGGGGGAAAAACAGTAATTGAAAAAGACCGAACGGGGAAATGCTATGTTCCCCCTTGGTATCTTGTCTTTTTCCTTGGTCGTTAAAATGGCGTCTTTCAAGTTGTGTTGTGATTTACAGCTAAACTTATGTTTATGGGCCTTTCAGCCCAATACTTTTTTTTTCATCCTGTCATCCCCTTGTGCGATGAAATTTTTCGTTATTTGGAGCCCTACTCTGGTTCTTGCCAGGGGCCGCAATATAGCCAGGCCATAAATATGGTCAAATGGCTGAACGCTGTTTCTGGGACCTCTCTACGGGTGATCCTCATCCACATGGTGGCCCTTTTTTGTCATCGGGTGTTTATCGCTTGTGTGATGTCCTGGTGGGGTAAAAGAAGATAGATAGATAGAACACGTTTTTCAGCGGACCTCCAGTTAGTTGTGGTTTTGAGACACGATTTATTGACTAAGTGATTGATTCGGTTATTTTAAAATGGGAATCACTTTTTTTTGGGGGGGGGGGGGGGGGGTGTTATAGAGCATTTGTAATATTTTAATTTGGCTAGCCTCCAGCTTTCATTGATTATTTTTGGTAATTCTTCGTCTTCTTCTTCTTCTTTGCGTTCACCAAACTAATCTCTACATTTGCAAATGGGGCCCCGGAGTCTGCGCAGGAAAGCTCGGGTGTAATATAAAAGGTGATAGAAGAAAAGAAAAAGGGGAGGACATACGAACAGCAACATATACATTGAAATAGACATTAATCTGATCTGTCCCCGACAACTTGCCGTGTGTGATATTTTACTCTCCGTGTGTGCCAGTTAACGTGTTATGTGAAATTGTACATCTTGCATACAGTAAGAGCGTCCTGAAAATCGGACAACGTTTTTGTTTTTACTATATACAGATATTTCTTCTTCATTTGCCCTTAATCTCCCAGTGAAAGTGTATATTTGACTCCTGTTAAGGCAGTGTATGAGTGAACATATTTTTGTTAATATTATTTCCTCCTTTTGGCAGTTCGCCCTGATTTTCTGCGAGCTAAAATAAACATCTAAAAATACTTTTTTTTAAAGAAACTGACAGCCGGTGTATGTGTGTGTGCTCGTTCGTGTGAGTGAGTGTTTGTGTGAAACGGGTTGCTTTTCCTTGAATCAGTGGCAAACAAACATAGAGGTCATTCCTATTTTTTTTCTGTGTACTACTAGGAGTCCCAAAACAGCTAGGGATGACAAGAAAGCAGATTTAAAAACATGTCAGAGAAACCAGTCATGAATACTGGTGGAAGTATAAGCACTAGGATCAAATAAAATGTCTTGAATACATTACAAGACATGACACTCTTATAATCATTATACAGCAAAATCGAAAGCAGGCGAACACAGGGAGATAACATGCAAACGTGGGCAAATAGCAAGCAGTCTATATGGGTCACCGCGGCGAGTCATGATCTTGTCCAAACACTCTTTTGCAAAGGACCTTTATTGTGGTTTTGAAACATAATTGATTGACTGATTTATTTTATTTTATTATTAGATTTTTTTTTTTTTTTTTGACCATTGTGATATTTTAATTTGGCCAACTTTGAGCTTTTACGGGTCACTTTTAGGCATTGTTTTTTTTCTTCGCGGCAACTGGTTGTTTACTCCGGTGGAAAGTTCTGGTTGTTCCACTTCTGATCTTTAGAGTTTTGTTTCTGAACTTGAGTCTTGGGTGCATATCCATTTTTATAGGCCTGGCTTATTTATACAGAACGTTGGATCCTAGCCTCTAAGATGCATTCTGACTTCGAAGTGAACATGCCTAATTAGTCGACGTTTACGACACCCGCGTTAGGAAGCAGTGCGTCTATTCTTGTTTTCCCCAAAGGGTGAATCAATCCGGAATCTTCATTCCGATTCCTTTTTAGAGAGAAAAATATTTTTAAAGTTCGACAACTTTCAGACTGCTGCTAGCTAGCCGAAGCTGCTAACAGTCTTTGTCTATATTTGTGGTCTGTTTTTTTTTTTTTTTTTTTTTCGTCACTTTCGTGACTAAAGTTTTAGTATTTGCGCCTTTTCTGGGCATGATGCTTCCTTCCAGGTATTTCCTCCTTGGTTTTATCTCTCTATGATTTGGCCATGAATTAATCAAGTAACAGAAAGTGTATTGATCGGCACTCGTATAAAGAAGTAGAAAGATGGAAGAACACACTAGACAACATAAAAATCGAAAGCTAGAGTTACCGTGCCGGGAATTGAACCTGTCACCTCCAGGCGCCGTCTGCACCTTGCCATGGATACAAGTGCACTAAGAACATGATCAACCAGGCACTTATGATTTGGCCAGGCGTATTTCGTAGTTGTAGTCTACATGTGGCTTTTTGGTAAATACGCGGCTGAGGCAGCGGTGGAATATGGCTATCGTAAGTCACGCGGCTAAGACAATGGTTGAATATGTCTGATATCGTCCCCGTGGCTGAAGTAACAAAGAACTAAGAGAGCATATCTGGAAAGAATTATTGGACGTCGAAGAGGAACTCCCAACTAGTCAAGAATCCTGATGTTCTTTGATTCTTTATGTTTTTTTCAACGGATCAACATCATGGCACAAGGGTGCAACCCACAAGTGCTCCGTTCTACTTCTAACTCAAGCCTGAGTCTAACGAATCTCAGCGCAGTGCACTAACTCCGTTGCACCGGTGAGGATCCTGAAATTGTTCAGGTAGATTTTTAACTCCAAATTTTGCCCGGGCAGCGCCGTCAGGCTACTCTTTTCGATTTCAAACTGCCAAGATTTTTTTTTTACGTGCACAACAATACACACGGGCGTCCGATCTTACTGCCCAAAGACCAGGGGAAATTACTAGAAGTCCGGGTGAAAAAAATCCCAGCCTTCCCCTGGGTTGTTCTTTGACTACTATATGTTTGATGTTTAGCAGTTTTGCTTGTTGTGTGTCAGTGGTGATTGGGTATATGTTTGATGTTTAGCAGTTTTGCTTGTTGTGTGTCAGTGGTGATTGGGTCTATGTTTGATGTTTAGCAGTTTTGCTTGTTGTGTGTCAGTGATGATTGTGTATATGTTTGACTGCATTGTTCTATTGAAGAGCGAAATAGACATGGGAGGTTTGTAACGATGCTACTGATCTGATGGTGCCTGAAACATAAAACGCTCATATTTACAACATGTTTCGATGCTTTTTGCCATCATTGATGTATTTTCTTACTCGGGAAGTATATGTTCATTATCCCGCTTCCTTGGGGCCAGCCATGCGTTGCTTGTGTGTCGATGGCGGTTACCTTTTTGGGGACGTATGTTCAGTATGCTGCAAGCAACCAATGATGTATATGATATCATGAGAATATTATTTTCAGTGGCTATGACCCGTAACTTGATTGAATGTAGAACAGGAAATAAAAGAGTTGGTAAACAATAAGTGTTATTCGTTGTGTAGTTGTCGGGACGCCAACATATAGAAATACGAGTTTTCCGTTATACTTCTTTTTTTTTAAATCTCCTCTTGTACTACTTAGGGTGTCGATAGAGACATAAGGTTGTGATTCTGACTCTTCTGGCCACCTCGTAAATAGACACATCCTGTTGTAAAGATTATCTGATTGTGTATTTCCATCTTGTTCTTGTTCTATCCCTTGATCTACGTACCCATCTTATTTTATTGTATGTCTTGTATGCTATGGGGTCACACACATTCTATCCCATTGTACCGTTGCTTCAAAAGACTGCGTGTTCATCTTAAGGTGGATTTTCGTCTAGGGTTTCACGTTGTTAACAAAGAAGTTAAACACACCCAAGACTGGAAATACACACCTTACCTAAAGTTGCCTTTCAATTTTTAGGTTTTATTTTTGTAATACTAAGAGAGAGAGAGAGAGAGAGAGAGAGAGAGAGAGAGAGAGAGAGAGAGAGAGAGAGAGAGAGAGAGAGAGAGAGAGAGAGGGAGAGAGAGAGAGAGAGAGAGAGAGAAACATAAATATCAGGAACTTTATGTGTGTATGTATATATATAGACTTCAAGTCTTATTCCAGAACATGAGTGCTGCGTTTCACAAATCTTGCTCATTTGTATGCAGACTAGTGGTTACTTGCATCTCAGGCAGATGTATTCCGACTTCGAAGTATTTTCTCAAATTAGTTGATTCCTACGACATGCTATTTGGGGAGGCAGTGAGTCTATTCTTGTTTTCCCCAAAAGGGCTTGCCTTTCAATTTTTTTTTAAAGTTTTCTTATTTTAATGCCCCGAGAGAGAGAGAGAGAGAGAGAGAGAGAGAGAGAGAGAGAGAGAGAGAGAGAGAGAGAGAGAGAGAGAGAGAGAGGGAGAGAGAGAGAGAGAGAGAGAGAGAGAGAGAGAGAGAGAGAGAGAGAGAGAGAGAGAGAGAGAGAGAGAGAGTGAGAGAGAGATCCCCAAAACATGAAGTGCTAAGATCAGACAGTGTCCAATGACGGACATCAATGGATATGCTGCTTCCTGCTGTCTGCACATGGTTATGGCCAGTTGTAATAGCTCCATCTTTTGTCGTCTCACTGATACCAGGTTGTAGTCCAGTGTCATGGTTTTGTCGTCTCGCTGATACCAGACTGTAGCCCAGTGTCGTGGTTTTGTCCTCTCACTGATACCAGGTTGTAGCCCAGTGACATGGTTTTGTCGTCTCACTGATACGAGGTTGTAGCCCAGTGTCGTGGTTTTTATCGTCTCACTGATACCAGGTTGTAGCCCAGTGACATGGTTTTGTCGTCTCACTGATACCAGGTTGTAGCCCAGTGTCTTGGTTTTGTCGTCTCACTGATACCAAGTTGTAGCCCAGTGTCGTCTCACTGATACCAGGTTGTAGCCCAGTGTCGTCTCACTGATACCA